ACTCATGATGATTCGTCCTATAAGCTATGGAAAGCTATCGACTATCAATGTCTAGCAGACATCCTCCGTCAAGTACTATGTTGCAGAGGCAGCACCAACTCCCGCTGGAGAAACATATGAAAATGAGCATGGGCAGTCAAATCGCCAATGAGAGTAAGTATAAAAATTGAAAATGGTAGCGCCTGGAATCCAATGCGATATGCTGGAGAGGCAAAGAAACAGGAAATGAAAAGAAAACAAATGTTCAGTATGCTCGTGATGGGTAGCAATGGCCACGCTGCAGTTGAAGCGGAAAATATCGTCGTGTATCGGTCGTATAAATGAAAGACTATTCGTCCGGGCTATACAGATTTTGATTGAGGATCTTGGTCATCGTGAACATGTGTATGCGATCTTGTTTGAAAACAGCGCGCATGGCGTCGTCGCAACGGATTTGGCGTCGATCGTTTGGATCTTGTAAATCGTGTTCGCGAATATACTGCCAGAGTCTCTTTACTGTTTGAGGACGAGAAAGCTGCTAGACAATTAGTAGAAGTTCCAGGTTTCAGATAAGACAGGATCGCTGTCAGAGGAATAGCGTACCGTAGTCTCGCCGTCCAGCAATGCTGAAAGCGCCGGAGACAAGTTCAATGGTTTCTGTCTGATTGTCAGTCGAGACTGACATTCTAGAAGAAGTTCTGGAAACTCACGTGAAAACCGCCAGATCGGTTCACTTCCTTCTTTGTTTCAGAGCCCGACTCAAGATCCGAATCGTCCTCCGCCTTGACTTTCTTGGACGTTTTGGCCTTGGTCTTCTTCTTCACTGGTCCTGACCTGCGAGCACTGGCACCTCTAGTCGGCCGAGCCCGCATGTTCTCCTCTGCTTGCAATTTGGCAGCATAGAGGGCATCTGCGTCGATATCGTGGTCGGGCTTCTTCTTTTTTGCCGGGGGTGTTTTGCTTGATGGATCGGACTGGTCATCGCTCTCCGCTTGACGCTTCTGAGGGGACGAGGACGGAGCAGGAGGTGAGGGCTCCGCAGGTGTTACTGAATCATGGTTCTGTGCTTGACCGTTGGAAGTAGGGGCGGTCGATGATGCAGCCGCATCAGAAGACCCTCCAATGCCGCTCTGTTCCGCGAATATATCGAACCTTTTCATGATAAGCTGCTTAATCGCAGCCTACAGTAACAACGCGCGTTAGCGGAAATTTTGCAGTGCCCAGGGTGGATCAATATTGAGGGGGATAATTTGCGACAGAGTCGAGGACGGCGTTACGGACCTTCTGAGGAGTGAGATCATAGCCGACGACTTCCTGAAGGCCTTTGCGAATGCGCTTCTCGGAAATGGTATTCAAGTCGCTTTTTGCAAGAATGGAATCTATGACCTCCGTGTATCGGGCCTCAACGTCGGGGGATACTGTCGCGCAAGGCATGATGTCAGTAAAGACCGAGTTCGGAGCTTATGCACAACATAGAATGGTGACCTTACGCGACATGTCGTCCAAGAGCTTCGATTTCTTATTTTCCCACAGATGCCCAAGCTGGAGAAGTTAGAATTGAGGTTGGAGAAAATGGCTACAGGTCGAAAGTAAAAAGTTGATGAGAGTAAAGTGAGTCCTATGGGTATCGCAATGGTGATAGTTGAGCTCGTCCAGATCTAAGCGGTCACTCACTTGGCGCTTAGGACCGGCGGGGCATAAGAAACGGACCTATATCTAGGGAGACAGGACGGGACTAGAAGAGGCATATAAGTCTTGTATGAATAAAGACAGGATAAAGACGGTTGACCTCACAATGAGTAGGGTATTCAACCTGCAGCAGCAAAGAAGTCCGGGATGATGCGTCGGTGTTGTTGCTCTTCCCCAGTAATAGTAGTCCCTTAGTGGTACCTTAAGAGAAGCGTAGAGCACTGACGAATCTTTAAGGTAGTTACCAGTTTACCGTACTTCCCCCTCCCGATGTATGTACCTTACGAGAATAATACCAACTCGGTCTAGATCTATGCCGAATGAGGAAATCATGCATGAAAGCCCAGCCTTGAGCCCAGCTGGGGAAGGACGATGAAGTAAGCAAGCACGTGATTTGAGAGATTGCTGACTCAGCACGGCGCACACAGAAGCGGGTGCGCTTGGGATTTGCTCTTTTTGCCCTAAAATCGAAGGCCAGCCAAAACGGGGTTGACCAGCAGAAAATTAGACAAGACCTCATCCTCGATACTCCCACCTCCCCATCGCCTTCGCTCCACCGTCCCCCCGGTCACGAACAGCCATGGCGCCCAGTTTCGATACTCTGTCTGAGCAGGACCTCCACGAAGAGGAGGAGGAGGAGATTGACTTCTCCGGTGAGTGCGACTGTTTTGGGTGGACGTTTTCTCGCTTTGTTGCCCCTCATGGCTAACGCGGCTCTTTGTCCGACATCCAGATCTCAAGGCGCAATATGAAGTGAAGCTCGAAGAGGGTTTGGATACGTTCGTTGTGATCGATGGACTCCCGGTTGTGCCCGAGGAAAGCAGACAAAAGCTCATCAAGTTCTTGTTGAGGAAACTCAACACGGTGGGCCACACGTCTGAAGATGCGGTCTTTATGCCCCTCAATGACAAGAACATGTCCGAAGGGTATGTAAAGGTAGAAGAACATGGAGTTGCAGCTCGGGTAATTAACCTTTCACTTTCTACAGATATGCCTTCGTCGAGTTCGAGACCCCCGAACAGGCCGTCGCTGCGGTCAAGCAGCTGCACGGCACTCCCCTTGACAAAAAGCACACCCTTCTCGTGAACAAATTAATGGATATCGAACGCTACGGTCGAGAGGGGCGCATCGACGAAGAGTACAAGCCCCCCGCCATCGAGCCTTTCAAGGAGAAGGAGCATCTCCGCTCGTGGCTTGCGGACCCCAACGCGCGTGATCAGTTTGCCCTTTACCGTGGCGACAAGGTTGGCGTTTTCTGGAACAACAAGAACAATCCGCCCGAGAATGTCGTCGACCGTGCGCACTGGACGCAGCTTTTCGTCCAGTGGTCTCCCAAGGGTACTTTTCTCGCATCCGTTCACCCTCAGGGTGTTCAGCTCTGGGGTGGTCCCGCTTTCTCGAAACAGAAGCAGTTCCCTCATCCTTTCGTCCAGCTCATCGAGTTCTCGCCTGGTGAAAGCTATCTGACGACCTGGTCCGCCCGCCCCATTCAGGTTGAAGAGGGCCAGTCTATTTTGACGTACGAGGAGGAAGGAAAGAACATTATCGTGTGGGATATTGCGACTGGAAAGCCTCTGCGTTCCTTCGTCTCTCACGATCTCACTGCTGGTCCTGCGGGAGACGCCGAGCCCAAGAAGAAGGTGCAGTGGCCTGCATTTAAGTGGTCTGCCGATGAAAAGTACGTCGCTCGCATGCTACAGCACCAGTCCATTTCGATCTACGAGCTTCCACGAATGAACTTGCTCGGAAAGACATCGGTGAAGATCGACGGCGTCATGGACTTTGAGTGGTCACCCGCAACTGTGACTCGGGAGGGCGTCAAACAATACGAACAGTTGCTCTGCTTCTGGACCCCTGAAATCGGCAGCAGCCCCGCCAGAGTCGCCATGATGAGCGTGCCATCAAAAGAAATTGTACGAACACGTAATTTGTTCAATGTTTCCGACGTCAAGCTTCACTGGCAGTCCCAGGGTTCGTATGTCTGCGTGAAGGTCGATCGACACTCGAAATCGAAGAAGTCCATGGCCACCAACCTCGAGATTTTCCGGGTACGCGAGAAGGGTGTCCCTGTTGAGGTCGTTGACAGTCTCAAGGATACTGTGATCAATTTCGCTTGGGAGCCTAATGGCAATCGATTCGTTCTCATCACAACCGGCGAGGCCGTCGCTGGTGCTGCTGTTGCACCCAAGACCGCCGTGTCGTTCTTTGCACCTGAGAAGAAGGGCGGAGCAATCGGTAACTTCAAGCTTATCCGCACCGTCGAGAAGAAGAACAGCAACGCGATCTACTGGTCGCCTAAAGGTCGTTTCGTCGTTGTTGCTACCGTTCACTCCCAGACCAGCTTTGACATGGACTTCTGGGACATGGACTTTGAGGGAGAGAAGCCCGAAGCCGAGAAGGACTTTGCCGCCAACGTTCAATTGATGAAGACTAATGAACACTACGGTGTGACGGATATCGACTGGGATCCTACCGGTCGTTACGTCGTCAGCAGTGCTAGCGTGTGGACACACCAGGTAAGAAGCCTTTGCCATCCTTTTCATCGATATTTGTAACATTGCTGACTTACCTCCTCTTGTAGTTGGAAAACGGCTGGAACATGCACACTTTCGCCGGTCAGACCCTCTCCGAAAACCCCACAGACAAGTTCAAGCAATTCCTCTGGCGCCCTCGCCCACCCACTCTTCTCAGCAAGGAGGAGCAGAAACAAGTGCGCAAGAACCTTCGGGAATACTCCAAGGAGTTCGACGAAGAGGACAGATACGCCGTCGATATTGCCAACACAGCCGTTGTCGAGAAGCGCAAGCGGGTTCTCAACGAGTGGCTTGCCTGGATCCGCCGGGAGAAGGAGCTCCTTGCCGAAGAGAAGGACGCCTACGGTCTCCCCGAGGAGGCCGACGACCCCAAGTTGGCCAAGGACGCCGCTGCAACCACACAAGAGCAAGGCGAGACTGTTGTGGAGGAGATTGTCGAAGAAATCATCGAGGAAAGCGAGGAAGTTATCGGTTAATTGGGGTTCTTTTTTCGTATCTAATGCTGTCCTCTATCTACCCTATTCCTTTTCACTCTTCTCTGTCGACATCTTCGCCAATTTCTCTCCCAACATATTGGGATTTCTGTTTTTCTCTCCGCCTTAAGCCTCTTCCCATGATCAATTTGGCTTGGTTTCAGTCCAGGGGTGTCTGGAACGTTCAAAAAGTGAATAGATATATGTGCTATCCCCCTCTATGGGAACTTATGTACGCGACGTTGGTAGTACGAGAGATGACAATGCATGAGCGAGCGGATCTTCGCAGAGCCGTACATAGATCTAGGTTTCCCATCTTCACAAATCATACTAAATTCATAAAAACAATGAGCCCAACAAAAGCATTCTGATATTGGTCTCTCAGCCGCCCATCATACAGTTCCTCGACACCACTGGTTGCCGTTGCCGTTGCACCCGCACTGGTCCCAGTGGCAGATCCCGTCGTCTCCGGCCCAGAATACGTACTCGCCGACTGCACATTCACCCTGAAGAAGGCATTTTGGTTTCCAACCACGTTCCCCGCAGGCGAGTACTCACACACCACATACCAGCCCTGCGCCCTCGTATACCGACCATCTTTATCCTTCGCATCGCTCACATCTTGATACCCGCAATTGAATGCCGCGCACCCGACCTCCCTCGTCGCCCTCCAGACCAACTGCGTGAAGTGCCCCGTTTCCTCGCTGAATCCCGTCGGTAACTTGTAGTTGTATTTCTGGCCTTCGTCGCCCCAGGCCGTGACGGCTGCTGCTGGGTCCTGGTAGCCGAAGGCGAGGTTCTCGCCGTACGGGCCGCCCTGGGATTATCAGTTCGGATTCCTTTCTAAGTGTGCTTTTGACAAGGATAGAGGCAATTGGCTCACTGAATGCTTCCATTTGCATCCCTCTGCCCAGTATTTGGCGTATTTTGTTAGCGTCTCGTTCCAGGTTAGTTGGCTTGCGTTGTGGTCGCGCCGGTAAGCGTTGCTGGTTGAGAGGACTGCCTCTTTGAATATCTCGGGGGAAGTGTAGGAGGCTGGATGGGGGATTGTGGGTGTTACTGTGACTATGACTGTGGTTCCTGCTGCGTTGCTCGCATGTATGTTGGGGAGTAGTTGGAGCCACAGGAAGATGGGGACAGCGAGCAGTCGATAGGTGGTAGTGATCATTTTGTTGAGACTTTAATTGGGTTGCTCTACCTCGTTCTATGATTCATCTGCTCTTCTTTGGGGATATATGAAAGCTATTGGTGCGAGACAGAGAGTCAGTACAAGTGCTGTGCTCTGCTCATGTCACATCAGTGAGCAAGTATATGCAATTGAAATGAGACAAATGCAGAGCCAGATGATTAATCTCGGAGGTCCATGTTTATCTGCGATTCTGTATGGCGTGAGAAGAGTCGGAAAGTGTATTGGATGGCTCGGAGACAAGGCTTACTGTTCAATTCACCGTGTTTCAAATAACAATAACTCCAGTACACCACGACGAGACACAACGGGAAACATGACGTTTTACCCAACATGTTTGTCTCCAGGCAGCATCTTCTTTTTATAGGACGGAAAACAAGCCAGTGTGCAGTGCTGCAAGTGTGTGGCTGAGACCGCTTGCGCTATGTATCAGCAGCCGCTCATTGACGTCAGTCCAACTGGCGGTAGTCTATCGGCATCAAATCAAGATAAGCTCAGTTTCTCCGGGAATGCCTTCTAGATGATGCTGGTATCTAAAGATTGAGTTCCTCAAAGCAAACTCAAAGTTGCAGGCGGCGATATCAATTCAAGCTCCGGATTTCCCAGGGTGGAGAATTGCCATCCGTCCCATCCGCTGATCGATGACTGTATAACCATGTGGGTATTCTAGCGTGTCTATCCGAGATCATGATATATACTAGAGTCATACTGAATAATCACATAACGTTACACCCAATTCCGTACATAGCGCGTTCCACGTCGCGTTTCACCTGGAACCAGTCCGCTCGTCGTTCGGCGAACTCGTAGACTTCCTCCACCCTCCATATTCCATAGAACCGATCCGCATCAGCAATGATAGTTGCCAATTCCTTAGCGTCAGATGGATCGATCAGATAGATCTGCGCTAGTTCCCGGAAGGCTTTGAAGTAGAGGAGAAGATCGTTGTTCTTTAAGCTTTGGATGAATTTAAAGTAGTGGTTCATATCGCTAGTATAGTCAGTAAAGATCGATCACAACCTATGAATAAACTGGGTAGTCCCACCTTATGAGCTTCAAGGACCCCTCGATGCTGATCCTCTGACGCTTCAAATGCTTACACAAAGCTGTGAAAAGTCTTAATCCGACCTCCTGGTTGAAGACATCTAGTGTGCTCTTGTCCGTGCTTCCTACCAGCATCTGCGTATGTGACGAGACGACGTCAACAACGGCCGCCGCCGTCTCACTGACAGCTACATCCATGGTCTTTCGGTATGGATCCGTAGAGACATCGGGATTGAAGTCAGTAGCCTGCTGTCTGGTCGCGAGGATATAATCCACTTCCTCCATCAGGACATCAATACCCTTGTTCAATCCAGCAGCGACACGTTCGTCCAAGATCTGCTCGAATTTCTTCTTTTCCTTCACGGCGGGATCGAGAAAATCATTCCGATCGGTGATCTTGGCCCCAACAAGCTCTTGCTCATAAAAGACATCCATCATTTGCAATATAAGGTCACCAACGTTCACAAGCTCCAAGAAGGTAACTAGAGGCTCAACCCCTGCCTGATCACGCTCGCCTTGTTCACGAGGTCTATAGTTGGATAGATGGTCGACCGCTTTGTTGAAACCGACAATAAGGTGTTGATGTCCCAAAATACGTAAGAGCGACACAAATATTGCCTCACATTGCTGTTTGGCCGCCGCTCCTGTCTCGCCTCCTATCCTCACAAATTGGGCGGCACGGTCGAGGCTGGACTTGGCCGAATGAACTAGGCTGAGAGCGATTTCGATACTAAACAGAGACCGGATGCCCTCCAACTTTGACTTCATGACGGCAGCCTTAGCTGCAAGCTCTGTGGTGGGAGGGGGCTCAACCGTAGGGGTAAGAGCAGGGGACGCAATAGTGGAAAACCTGTTCGGGCTCTTGAGGGACGAAGAGGGTTCGCTGCCGACGGACTCTTGATCGGATTTTGTTTCGCTTGACTTGGAGCTCGAAAAGCTGGGGAGAATGTTGACGGGTGCCATAATCACCTTTTTGAACGAAGTCAAAAAGTCGCGCTTGTCAGCCTGTCGATTGACATTTGACATCAGAAAAGATTCTGTCGAAGCGGCCTGCTCTGACAGTTGCCTATCCCACTCATCCACTACAGCCGCAGAGTTCTTCCGGAAGTGGTCGAGCTCTTCTGCAAGGTACAAGTCAATGTGAGGCTCGTATACTTTCGCCACAATGTGGTGCAGAAATTCGTCAAGCGTGTCAGTTGTGTTCTGGATCGGTAAGAGTGCTTCTGACAAGTTCAGGCACTGCGCGAATGTCCCTGAGACGGCTATTAGATATGGCTCAAGATTGGAACGATGTAACTCGTCGAATATCGCGGTCAAGAATGGATATAGCACGTCTTGTGCAACCTTTTCAACGAATGCGGGTCCAACGTTCATGCTCGGGGGAAAGGCGCGGTTGATTATCGAGACTTCCTCATTGTAAGCAACACTCAGCCTGGTAAAGAACGCCTGGGTATGTTCGAGCTTGACCCGTTGGTTCAGCCCGTCAATACAGTCCGCTACCCTGCCCAAATCAGACTTGCGAGTTATCAAGTGGTTATGGTTGATGAAGAATTCGATAGCGGAATCTCCGCCATTCAAAGTGAACAGAACATGAGCGTATTTGCGCATCGCGCCGTCAATATCTTCAGTCTCGTAACCTTGTCGAAATTCTTTCATAGCAGCTGTTTCGAACATCGATATGGCAGATTGTAGGCGCGCGTTTCTTTCCCGCCAACCTTCGGTTGTATCGCATTTGGCGAATAAACGCAATTGAGATAGTATTTGCGCTTGATGCTCAGGATCTGCATATTCTTTAAATAGCAAGTTATCCGGTGATGGCCCAGATGTGATGATGTCGTCGTAGAATGGCGCCAATGCAGCGTGGACCTTTCCATACTCAATGCGTGCTTCTCCGCGCACCGATCTTACTTGCTTCAACGCGCCCAACACAGGGTCTCTCTCTAGCTCGTGAACCTCTTCGGGAGGAACAGAGGTGGAGAGTTTAATCTGATCAAATCCATCCGATAGTGTATTCAAACTGATCGCCGGGGCTTGTTCACTGATTGGCTGTTCGGTTTGCTCCGCGGCCTGCTGCTGCTCGACAGACTCCACGTTCGCGATCGTCCCAAAAGTCTCTTCAATATGTTTTCGAGCTTCGAACTCATTCCAGCATCTCATGCGTTTCAGCTTTTGCACCCATCTTGTATCATCGTAGGCCATTTCGCGCAGGAGCTTCGAAGACCGTGCCGCACGGATGAGATCGACGGGCGAGAGGTAATCGAGAATAGACGACATGATCTCTGGTGGTGGTCAGTTTCGTTAACTTAACTAGATACACTGCCGGCAATATGAGCCACTTGATCCTGTTGAGCATACCTGCTGGAAGGGCAGCCCTGGAGATCTCCTCCATTGAGGCCATCTTGAGTGAAGCCAGTACGTCTCTGCGCGGTTTCCCGCCAGCTTTCGGCCCATTCCTCACATTCGCCATCTTGCTAGTTCGTGCTCAACATCGGGAGAAAAGATTTTAGACGCCCCGATGATAGCTTTGAAAGCTCGGGACCGCGGAGTCACCCAGTGCTGCTGAGCTACTGGGGAAGTACTGCGGGGCAGGATGGATATGAGAGAACCAATGTTGAGCAGAGAGGCTACCTGTTCAAACGACACATGTAGGCATTATTAATTATATTCCCCAAGGTCCAACAGAATGGACCTGGTGCTGGTCGATAATTGTATTTGCGGCTGAAGGTCGGCAAAGTGCCCCAAGGACCCTTAAACCTTGGCCGAAATAACTAAGTTCGCCTGTTGAGTTCCCCGGAAAATCCACACGAAAGATCGGTGGCCCGATCTCCGGCACCAACCAACAAGTTAACAATACCCAGGAAGTTAGCAGCATAGTGCCTAGGCCGTACATGATCTCCTCTAACAATGAGTATCTCCAGTTAGGGACAGAAAATTTAGGCGATATGGCAATCCAGCGACCAGTTTTTTTACTGAGACGATTGAAGTAGATGGAAATAGGGCTCATGCTGGCTTTACAGGATGAAGATATATTCTACGGCATCAGATCCATTTCAGCACTTGGCTAGTCACATAATCAAGCACCTAGGCAAGTACGACGAAGCAGCTCTAAAACTCGGCAAGATCATATGTATGCATGAATATCTTGCATCGATCAGAAAGACTCCGCCTGTATTTAAAAAGCAAATATTGAATGAATATCAATGTATTTCGTAGACGTGATAAATACACTCGGCAAGCAAATGTACTATGAGCTGTGTTGGGACGGTCTGTACTGCACCTGGCTCTTGGGGGTCGTACGCAGTCCTGCTTAGCACTAGCTATTCCACGCCGTCACCCACGTCCGTCTTTTCTTCAAAAGGCAGACAGCTATTCTGGCTTCGGTCTTCATTTAGAAGTTACAGATTAATACTTCATATCTTCTTCCACTAAGGAATGTGCACTCCTGTTTGTGCTCCATAGTCCATCCTCGATGGAAGTCCTTCAGCTGCCTGTTCTCCATGTGGAAGCCCGCGTCAAGAGCAACAGAGAGGGAATCATTGTCCGCACAGATCTGGTACTGCACTTTCTGTACTTCTCATCAACTTGTCGAAATTCTAAGTCAGAGTAATCCCAGATTAGGGATGAGATCACACAGTGGTTGATTGACAATTTTGTTGTCCTATCTCTGGGACAGGTGATAAAATCTTTCGGTATGTCTAAAACAAGGAAAAGCTAAAGAACAGCGTCTGATACCAGCCTAGAGGGTCTGAAGGAGCCACATGCACGGGCTCTAGAGTTGATACTCGTCACCGAGTGTACTGGCGGTGATCTCGAGTCCGGCGCATACCGTCTTCAAACCGTCGAACTAGATGTCCAAGCTTATCAACTTCGCACACAGCTTGATCAAGAGAGAAACCAACATACTTTGCACGAGGAGGAAATAGTAGATAATGTGGAGGATTCCGGAAAGACCAAAGTCTTGATATTACCAAGCACGGAATTGGATGGGCTTTGGGAGTCGTATGGCGATCCTGTTTTTTATGAAGCAGTGGTGACGAACTGACGACTATGAGCAGTCTGCAGTACGACCAGCCTCTACAGTCAACACTACTCCGCGCCATAACTCGAATGGGTGGGTAATCTTCGTTGATACTGCATCTTTAGGAACGCCGTTTAACGGTCTCAGTGTCCTTCTCTGCTCGGAAGCTTGATAAATGGACGATCAATTGGAATAGATTAATCCTCCTTTGGGGTCCTCCGGGAACAGGGAAAACGAGCCTATGGTGGGTTAATCAAAGTATCAAGTTAAGATCGTCGACTGACAGCATCAGCCGCGGCCTGTCCCAGAAGCTTGCCATACGCCTCGGAAAGCATTACCCACAGAGTAAGCTGGTTGAGATCAACGCCCACTCCCTCGGAAGCAAGTTTTTCGGTGAAAGTGGCAAGTTGGTCAGCAAAGCGTTCGAGAGTATTGAGCTACTGCTTGAGGAGGAAGAAGATACTTTTGTCTGCGTGTTTGTAGACGAAATTGAGACCCTGGCAGCCCGAAGGGAACGCGCTCTGAGTAGCAAAGAGCCGTTTGATGCTGTTCGAGCAGTTAATGCATTGCTCACAGGACTTGACCGGCTGAAGCAGCTTCACAATGTTGTCGTGATCTGTACGAGCAATTTGGTCACAGCTTTGGTAAGTGGTCATCACCCAGAGCCTTGTCGAGGAGATTTACTGAAGTTCGTTTAGGACCAGGCCTTCCTCGATCGCGTCGATATCAAGCAGTTCGTACCTCATTTATCAAACAGAACCATTTATGGGATCTATAAAGAGTGTCTGGAAGAACTAAGCCGGCGAGGCATTATCAAGGGTGCCTCGTTTGACGTTGTTCAAGTCAATCCCGAAGATCCACACACGGACTTGCAATATGTGGAGCAGCCTGCAGAGTGTTTGATGCTACCATTGTTTGAAGAAATGCTTCTCAACTTTCAGATCTTCCCGAACGCCATACCCAAGCAGCTTGCGGATGCCGCTTCCGCCAGTGTGGTGAGCGACACATTCCCAGTTGAATGAAATAGTGACAGACGCCTAATAACACATGTCATAGGGACTTAGCGGTCGTACTATAAGAAGATTGCCCATTCTGTCTTTGGTGCTGCATTGCAGTAGCAGCAGGTGTCATATTCGAGCCGCGCTTCAAGCATTGCAAAAGTGCATAGCGTCGGAGATCCAGGCCAAGACTGAGGCCATGTGACGAACCGCACACTTTCATACTACTACTCCGTACGGCAAACTACGGGACCGGAGGAGGATCGGATAACCTTGAGTGCCACAAAGTCACTGCGATTCGACGTGAAACGTATTCTCCAGATACTGTAATTGTATTATTGTAGAATATTTCTGCTAGAAAAGAGTTGACTGTGTTTGTTTCTAAATGGCTATGGTATTGCTCTATTGATCACTGAAATTTGTTGTTCCGAAAATTCGCGGTTTTCACCGAAGGCAGCTAGAGCCGGGGCGGCAGCCAATCAGCGCGAGGGTTTAGCCAATTCCAAACCCAAGAGAAACTTGACGGTTCGACAACCTCAACTTCACCTCCAAAAGCACATCTTCCTGTGCGCTGAGCCTATTCCCACCCCCCTCCCCTCCCCTCTCCACCGTCTGTGGCTATTGTGCCTTCCTCTTAGCCTATTGTTTGGAGGGTTCCAATTACCGTCAGTATGCTGGCACGTACTGTTTTGCGCAGCGTGCCCTCCCGGGGTATCGCCCGCCAGTCGTTGAGCAAGACCACCACGGTACGCATTATCCCGACACCTCACGCCCATTAAGCGGAGTCAATGAGGCCAATCGCTTGAGAAACGAACTTGGAGGCCTCGAGACGCATTGTTTGCTAACAGCCTACCCAGCGTGCGTCTTCCTCGACAGCCGGTGCCGAAGCCGCCAGTTCCCCCTTCCACCTCACACTCACTGCGTCCGTCGCAACCGCTGCCGCCATCGGTTCCGCCGCTTGGTACTACAGCCTCTATGGAAAGGAAGCTTTTGCTATGACACCCGCTGAGGAGGGGTGAGTGAACCGATTGCGATCAATTGGACGAATGGTCATTCGATTGGCCGTTTCCGTTGCTCCGATACCGAGTGTCAATCTTCGAGGCTGACGCATAAGATTATAGATTGCATCCTACCCAGTACCCCTGGGAGCACGCCAAGTGGAACAAGACCTTCGATCACGCCGCGTGAGTTTGCCCTGACTTGGAACCACTTTCGCTTCTAGCTCAAGACGAGAACGGTTTGCTCATCATATATTCTCCAGTCTCCGCCGTGGTTTCCAGGTCTACCGTGAGGTCTGCGCCAGCTGTCACTCTCTTACCCGTGTGCCCTGGCGTTCGTTCGTTGGTGTCATGCACACTGTCGACGAGATGAAGGCCTTCGCCGAAGAGAACGAATACGACACTGAGCCCAACGACCAAGGCGAGATCGAGAAGCGCCCTGGAAAGCTCTCTGACTACATCCCCCCTCCCTACAAGAACGAGGAGGCCGCTCGTGCCGCCAACGGTGGTGCTCTGCCCCCTGATCTCAGCTTGATCGTCAAGGGTCGTCACGGTGGCTGCAACTACATCTTCAGCCTTCTGACCGGTTACCCCGATGAGCCCCCTGCTGGTGCTCAGGTCGCCGAGGGCATGAACTTCAACCCTTACTTCCCCGGCACCGGTACGTTTCATGACCATACTTGATCTCACTCTCGACTAATCCGCATCTTAGGTATTGCCATGGCCCGTGTCCTGTTCGATGGTGTCGTTGAGTACGAGGATGGCACCCCTGCCACCACCTCCCAGATGGCCAAGGATGTCACTGAGTTCCTCAACTGGGCTGCGGAGCCTGAGATGGATGACCGTAAGAAGATGGGTGCCAAGGCCCTCGTCATCCTGACCGGTCTGTTTGCCCTGACCGTCTGGGTCAAGCGTTACAAGTGGGCCCCCATCAAGACGAGAAAGATCGTGTACAGCCCTCCTGTTCCCCGGCGCTAGAATGCTGCAGTGGACATGTATGAAATACCAAAAGTGAAGGCATAGACCGCGAATGGCGAGCCTAGAAAATCGTCCGGTTCGGGTCGTCGGCAGTCCTTCATACGTCGGTTTTTTGTCTATGCTTCTACTGCATGTTTGTTTGTTACAAGTTACTCAGGACTCCTGTATCTGTACCCTAGATATTTCTTCTCCTTTTGAAAATCTCGTTTGAAGATCCAAAGATGTCAATTCATTTTTCCTTTGTCATGTTAGAGCCTTCTTTCGTGCGCTTTGCGAGATTCAATTCTGCAAGATATAACATGCGCAGTATCCGAGTTTAGATCTACCTTGTTGGCACGGATGGCTTCGTGAACGGGTTAAGATGCATGTACTAGTCAATGAATTTACTCTCGTCTATCAATTGCTATGTATGAAAGTCGAACCTAATGACCAACCTGATGGACGGCGTAATCACGTCGTCTATGAGCGCGTATCTTCCATAGTTCGTTCCCCATCACCGAATATGGGCGCGAAAAAAAGGTCGTATGTACTCCACATTATATAGAACAATAGATTCGACCCCCACACGAGCCATGGCGGACTGCGACCATCGGGACCGGCCAGCAGTTTCGAGAGCGACAGAATAATAATGAGAGGGGGTATCCATGATGCAACGAATATGGCTTTGCCGATCGTCTGACGCACAGTTGTGATACGGTACGGCTGGAACTGGGAGAGGTACCTCCGATAGGCAAGCGGGAGGTTATGTTCGGCTGCACCGGTATTGATCAGATCGAGGTAGCGAGCGGACGGCTGGGCGTAGCAAGATTTAGGACGTCTGTATGGAGAGGGGAGCTTGTGATCTTTTGCAGTTAGGTGAGAAGGATCTGGGTCCTCATTCGGAGACAGAAGAGTGTGAGCTTTGAAGGGCTTGGTTTCAGGATGTTCGGGTATTGGGTCGGTCGGGCTGTGGGGTTTCGGAAAGGGATAGCAATCTACGACGATGTCCTTGTAACCGCCCCCGCCACCCTCCGTTGCTATTATTTTGGCATAATCGGTGATAGTCACTTCGTACACAACTCCGACGAGAGGCATAGATGTGGAGTCTTCCGATAGGAGGGTGGATTGCTCAAACGTATCCGCGTCCGCCGGGCTTTGGTTGTTTCCAACTTCTCCTGTCTCTGTCTCCTTTGATGGGTGCGCATGGCGCCGGGTTGCTGCAAAACATGGCTCCAAGTACGGAATCCCGGGCATGTCGAAGGTCAGTTGCAAGCTGGGAACGACGACATTGATCTGAGACAGAGGCCTGATCCCTCGCTTGCCTAGGAAGGTCTTCGCACACAAGTTCGAGCCATAGGCGAGGTACAGGACGGTCTTCTCGGGAGGTACAGTATCCTCGATCTGGTGACTTGTGACCTTCTCGGCGAGGTGTTCGTCTCTGTCAAGTGACTGATCCGCGATGGATTGTCGGCGTCTCCGAACGGGGGTCTTGGGAGGATGGCAATCGGTCTCCCGGTAAGAGATATCCTCGAGGCGAGCTGGACTGACAAGTTCCCATAGTCGCCGGAACGTTTGAAGGGCATTGAACTTGGAGGGTGACGTAGCCCCAGGGTCTGCTTCCCCGTCCGAAGTAGGAAGTTGTATGGTCATTTTCGCCAACAGATAATGCGCTAAGGCAGCCTCGCCTCTGTGGTCAGTTAGCTTCCTAATTGCGTCAGTTCATTCCACGATTGCGACAGCGAGTAAGGCTTCTTAAATGTCTTAGTTAGTTTACGTATGCTTACGATGCCTAGGCCAATCTCTGCTGAGCAATCAAGCGATGGGCTGCAGAATTGCAAAGAACCATCGGCATCCGGAGGAACCGGAAAGACCGTGCTCGGGACGGAGTGGCCAAACCTCCGTCGGAGGATTTAGCCTTCCATCAACCACTAGAATTAAAGCAACAGGAGCACGAAGCTGACGCAGGAATTCTTGACACGTTTGAGTTGGCGATGGCACCTCGCTAAGCTTTCTATGACACAGTACAGATAATCTTTCCCTTGGTCTGATTGCTTTCCATCAATTTATGCGCATCGATAATTTGCTCCATCGGAAAGACCTTCTCCACAAACACCTTGAAGCTTCCATCCTTGAACCTGGGTAGAGCATGCTCCACAAGGGTTCCGCGTAGCTTCTTCTGGTATCGCTCATCTCTGCTCCTCAGAGTGCTGCCCTCAAATCGAAGCCTCTTGCGAAGAAATGGGGCAATGTTTACACCTTCAGGTAGCTTCACACCGCCCATAACAGCAAGATTGACAATGCGACCGTCTTTTGCAGCAGCATCCAGATTTCCTTGGAAGTAACTGGCGCCAATGAAATCGACAATGATGTTTACGCCCTCTCCATTGGTGGCTTTCTGGATTTCAGCGGACCAGTCCTGGGTGTGATAATTGAATCCAGCAGTCGCACCGAGCTTCTTGACGCAGAAGTCTATCTTTTCATCGGAGCCAGCGGTTACATAGATTGCCTTGGCTCCGTCTGCCTTTGCGAGCTGGATACCAGCAATAGAGACTGACGATGCGCCTGCATGCCACAGGACAGACTGACCCGGCTTGTACTCACCAACGAGATAGAGTGCCTGAGTCGCTGTGATCCATGTCTATTAATAGCGTAGAAGTTAGATGGACTCACTCAAAAGGGCGGGGATCGTGTAGAAGTCACCTCTGGAATGCCCGCAGCTTCCTCCCAAGATAATTCCGCAGGCTTGTGAATAAGCATATTAGTAGACACTGCAATGTACTGAGCATAAGCCCCTGTGCATCGAATCGTCAGCTGTGGTAAGACGAATAGCAGGCTTCGTGAGCTGACCTCCATAAGCCAGGCCGAAGACCTCATCTCCAACTTTGAAGTCCCCGCTGGCGTCTGGTCCCAGGTCCTCGATAGTCCCTGAGAATTCCACTCCCATGGTCTCTGGCGCCTGAGGCGGAAGCGGATACTGGCCCTCACGCTGAAGAAGATCCATCCGATTCAATCCGAATGCTTTGATCTTCACCAGCGCCTGGTTGCCATTGATAGGCGGAACCGGGATGTCATCGACGTAGAGGGCATCAGCAGAACCTTTGCCGCCTTTTACAGCTAATATTCTGTCAATAACAACTTCTAGACCAGATTCAAAAGCAGACAAGACTAAGACTGACCGACTGCTTTCATTGTCCTTGTTCCCGCCATTTCTCGAAACAGTGGTACCGAGCGAGCGTATCTTTCGCCGAAATCTGGATGTTGAAAGTTCAAATAAGCCTTCTTGACCAACTGATCTCGAAACTAGGGTCGAGCTGCAATATAGGTACAAAGTGACGTCTTAAAATCTAACTCTACGAGGCACGACCTCATCAAGCTCCGCATGCAACGTGATTGATAAGCATACACCGCAACCACCCCACTGTCGTCATTGGTCGGTGCGTCGTCCGAAATAACCAGAGGGTGTGGCCTTACTGCGAGTCCCAAGAAGAATGGAACCTATTGGTCGGATGGACGGTACCAAGGCGATTCACTCAAGCGACACAGCAATTCGTTAAAGTCACCGCTTATCGGACCTCAAATCAAGCATTTCGGCTGTCCAAAGGCCGAGGATGTTACCAATTTCGGCTCTGCCATCGACGTGAGGATAACTACGACAATATAACTCAACGGCACAGTCCACCCCACTTCATAAGCACTTGTCTGCGCTTGTCGGAAAGGTTGGACCATTCCAGATATCTGCTGTATGACTTCTCGAGTCTCAACAACCCTCTACCTCACTTCCGAGCCTCGGACACTGAGGGAAGCAGAAGACCATGCATCGCTTAGAGAAAGATATCAAATACGCGAGACATGACAACCTCTTTGTTTGCAAACCGTAGTTGTCAGCTGCATGGCTACTTCCTTCCAAGACATAAACAAACAAGGTTTGCTGATTCTCGCATTTGAGTTCGTTGGCCGCGCCCTTTCAGCGGCCACTGGGTGTTGAAGCAGATTTCTCGATACTTTTATTATTGAGAGCTTTCTCTCGTATGTTCGCATTTCATGAGTGTCCTCTTGCTTTGTAGAAGCTTGGTATATGAGATATCAGATCTTAAACCAGCAGGTCCAGCAGGTTCGCTCTCTTGTAAGTTTCTCGCCTATCCCAAAGCAAGACCACCTAGAGATGAAGACTCATGGAAATGTCATCTTTTTTTTGAAATAGTCAGCGCCATACATGTCTGGCACGACAGATAATCAACAGCAGATGTTCATTGAGGGTGAGTTGTGACTCGGACTTTCTGTACCTGAAGATCTTCTCGAGTCAACCTGTGCCGGGCAACTGCATACGTCTCCGTAGCTCCATTTACCTGGTAGTACGCAATAATCCGGATCCAAGGAAAACAAATATATATAATGGCCAAGAAAGGGAATCTCAAGCCATTCGATAAATAGGAAGCTCGGTTCAAAGAGCTGATTCTGGCCAAGCGTGTGCAGAAGACTGCTCAGAGTGAAGCCCCATCATGTGACGGGACACCTCCTTCTCTTCTCGTCCATTCAATTTTATTCTACCCTTAATGAACTGACATCGAGAACTGCATTTGGGCATCAAAGCCATGCCTAGAGCTGCGAAATGTCTTCTACATCGTCACAGGCAGTTCTCACAGACGAACAACTGGCTGGCTTTACCGAATTGGCGACAAGATTAGAGAGCATTTTCACCGGCGAGGCAAAAGGCGGAGAATTCGTGTCAGTCTTCGAGTCAACAGGGATGTATTTCTAATAAACTGACCTCGTGCAGTGTCCCTAGTTACTTGATCGACGGTTTTTTACGCATTGAAACGCCTATCCGCGCACAGCATCTTCAGAAGGTCATTGACGTTTTACACAGATACGAAGCTGATATAGTGCAATCGTTGAACACCACCTCTGTGCATTGTCTAGCATATTTACTTCTCAATTTGGACGTCGAGTCGGAGCAGGAAAATGGGCTGAACCTCTTGCTTGTCGGTTTGCCTGTACCTCTGAGTCGAGTCAGAGCACGACGAAGCTGATCTCTGCAGGACGAATCAATCTATGTCGTCAGGACAAAAAGGAAAAGGTCCGAAGTGGCACTGCTTCGTTTTCGAAATCAGCTGCAGCTCGTTCAACGCAAGCTGATTCAGACCCTATATGGCTTATTCATAGACGAAAAGCGAAACAAGCACATCCGACGACTGGTCCGTTATCACTGTCTGACTGCTTGAGCAAGTACTAAACCTTTTCAGGCGGGCAAATCCCTCGTGGAAATATGGCCTGGGACTAAGGATGTTAGGAATCTGCCTTTTGAAATCCAGGATGAGGATATAACTCAGTAAGCGAAAAGGTCGTCATGTACTCTTGGCCTTTCTAACTCCTAGGATTCCATAGACTTATCTCGATTATATTATACGAAAATGATGCCGTGACAAGATTCTTCGCGGGGGCCTTCATGCAGACACTTCACCTTTCCCAGAAAGACGTCGAGCGGCTCGGTCATGCGCGCGACTGTAAATTGCTGGATATGCTTTGCAGGAGCATGGTCGTTTTCCCAGAGGAACCGATCAAGTTCTTCCATCATTACGAGTGCGAAGTGCGACGTATACAGCCGGAACCTGATAAGCGCACTATACTTGTGCCATCTTGCGACCTTGTCCTGTCCGGCAATGGCGAGAACAGGCCATTAGCACAGGGATCCGAGGCACTCGGCGTAGTCAGCCCGGAGTCTTTGATATTCATACTCGCTGTAACTCGCCCATCTGGGGTGCTCTGTCAATTCATCGATGTCTCGATGCACTCTACTCTGGAGTCTCTGCGCACATCCAGGCAATCCACAGGTGGCGGAATGTCCCGCTTGATTTTACAATTTGATGTGGATGCTTCGCTATCAGTGAATGGGAAAAGACAAATCCCAGGAGAATCGACCCTTAGTTTATCATCGCGTTATGATTTGGCGGATTTGCATACGGTAATTGAGACGAATGGCAAGCTGATGAAAAGGCAAAGCACAGATTTGAGCACGCTGACCCGGATGTCATCATCCATTATAATATCGCTCGATACTGATGATGATGATGGCAGCGAATCATTTGACCATAGCCAGGCACTATTCGGAAATGAAGGCCCCGTGTATTGCCTTGGGTCGAATGGGAGTCAGCCTGAAAGTAAGTGCTGTGAATCACAAACGACGTCCGGCAGCCATGACCGTACCGTCTTGTCTCAACAATCTGAATCAGCGCGTGGAACCTCTGTCATGGGAGATAGCCTCCAGGCTTTGCGTCCGTTTAGATTCAACCATAATATTTCGAACCAGCACGGTCGCGAGAGGCCATCCGTCGCATTTGAACGGAAGTCACCAGGACGAAGTATGGTAGAAGAAGGTGGAAATCCTCTAGCCCTAAAGGAGCATTCTGATAACTCAGCCGAGAGCCCGCACAAAGGGCTCTCCGATTGCGCCATGGCAGAGACCGATACTGGCTCATGGAAGAAGAGCCCTCCACATGTCCACACCAGCCATTCTCATGCGCCTGAAGAAAATGATGCTGGCTGGCTACGCCCCCGAACAAGTAGACCGCGCTCCAGAAGGCACCAGCAGAAGAGAGAATTAACAAGTAGTAAAAGGGCTAGTGGCCTAATGCCTGACACCCAGGAATCCCTCATTTTTCCGATGCGGCATTCTACAAGGAAGGTCTACACTCATGTCAGAACTTCTGTTGACTGGGATGAAGACTTACGACCAAGCGATGAGCCTGAACAGCTCGAAAGCCGGAAAAGTATTGATGTCACATCCATTTCGTCTCCTTTTCCCGGAGAGAAATCTATTTTTGATCAGGCTTCCAGTAAAGGGACCAAAAGAAAGTCGAAGGGCAAGACATCGTCCAACAAGCGCAGAAAGACCTCCAGAAAGGTGGGTCTGGACAACAGAAAGGGCCAGCATGAGATTGAAGAAAGTAGTTTGGCGCAAGAATCAGAACTGGAAGGTACGGTGGATGCAACCCACATGCCTGAGGTGAACGCTAAAAGCGAAACTCCGAAAGGAAGTCGCACCAAGGCGGATAGAGCGTCTATGGACAACAGTGTTGAAGGGGGCCCTCCCCGACAGCTTGAAACTCTTACCGACGAGGCACCGGAGGCTGCACTGGTTGCCGTCACAGAGATATCGGGAGTCGAGCAAAGTATTGCATTCCTGATGGATCAGGCACAGGAGATAGGCTGCCCGCTCATTTCCGAGTCGTCCAGGGCTACAGGCGATCAACATGCAAGCCAAACCCCCAATTCGCAAATTCAGATGCCAAGTTCGGACCGTGAAGAGACACATATCATTTCCTATCCTGACTTCAAAGAGTTTGAGTTTGGAGGTAGAGGAACCGTCGTGGGTGGAAAGTTGGCTTTCGCCTTTCATCGTGGTTGCGCTTTTTACCTCCAGGGAGAGGAAAAGGAGGATGATTCCACTATCCGTGACGGAGTCACTGGATCAGTAGACAAAGAACACGATGAAAACCACGCAATGAGCGCTTCAGCATTACGGCATGAAGATTCCGAGACGCGTGTGGTCAAGGTGCAGCCCCAGGAGGCCATAGTGTCTCGGACGAACCGAACGACACATCTCTCTTCAAATGCCGAGCGAGCAGTAGTGGAGGGACAGACTAGCCAGGAATATCCTGGGAGTATACAGCAGATTTCATCAAAGAGGCTAACAAGCAGGAAAAGGAGGGCTGCCCAGACAGAGAAAGACAATGCATCGCGGAAGAAGAAAGCACAGACAAAGCTCTCAACGATGGCCAGAAGTGAAAAAAAAAGCCAGGCTGATGAGATTGAATGTCAATCCCAGGAAATTCGTGGTCTACGGCAAAGCGAGCCTGGCTTATATGCTTTGAAAAAGGCAGACTTCGGGAATGGCAGAGCGCAAGTTTCGACTGGAGAAAGGAAAAAGGTCAGGTCTGGTTATCACAGTCTCAAGTTGATCCGCCAGAGACAGAAACCCGAAGAGGGAGATTCGTCAGATTCAGGCAGCCCGAAGATAATCTCTCATGGTAAGACCATTCCGAGGCTGACTCCCAGGAAGACCATAGTTGACAACAATGGGAGTCCCCGGCTGGTCTCACGACACATTGCTGGATCCCAATGCTCTACCCACGCAAACCTCGACTTTACGCAAGGATCCGGAGAACTGATGCGGGCAGGAATGAATTTGATTTCACAAGGATTTAGTG